GCAGTTTAATCAGTACTAACACCCAAAGAGTCCTATGTGCGTTAGTGCTATTGTCTTCCAGTTCTATTAATGATCAAATAAATAAATAAAATTGTCCCTGTGTTTAAATAATTAAACACTACTCCATGAAGAAGTATGGGAGAGTGGATGTATTGATCCACATTTTCTTTACCTCGGCACTAGCTGGAGGTGAGTGGCCAGTTACACGCCCCGGCCGTTTTATCCCGGGAAAGTGCCCCCGGTACCCATTGTATAGGAGGTTGGGTGGACCCCAGAGCCGGTCTGGACGTTTGGAGAAGTGAAAATTCTTGACACTACCGACCTCTCGATCCTCCATCCGTAGACAGTTGCTGTACTGACTACGCTATCCTGGCTCCATTAATATTTTATTTTCCTTGGCACTACAGCCCCAGTGGGCCTAGGCCTATCTCCATGAACTTCTCCGTTCACTTCGGTTTCTCTAGATCTTACACATTCGGTAGGACTCCTTGGAAGGGTGATCGGCTCGTCGCAAGGCCTCTACCTGTACTCAATCACAGATAAACGCGCACACACAAACTAGACATCCAACTAGCCCTGAGTGGGATTCGAACCCACGGTCCCGGTTTCCAAGCGAGCGAAGACAGTACATGCCTTAATAATTAATTACTAAGTATTTTATATATAGAAATAATTTTAACTGACATGCCAATTGATCTTGTTATAAGGAGCCGGGATAGCTCAGTCGGTATATCGACGGGCTATGACCTGGATGGCCGGTGTTATATTCCCGGCAGGGGTACGAGATTATTCTATACTCCACACCATCCAAACCGGCTCTGGGGTTCACCCAGCTTCATATTCAATGGATACTGAGGGCTCTTTACCAGGGGTAAAATGACCGGAGCGTGAAGCTGACCACTCATCTCCATCCAGTGCCGGAGTCGCAAATTATGAAGTTATATCTCCACTTCCCTGCAGGTTTTCATGTGTATTTTAATCTTTTCCTTTGCAATTTCGGAGAGTTGGGTCTGAAAATGGAATGCGATTATAATGCTGTATTACGAAGATGACTCATGAAACTCAATCTTTTGTAGGCCAACTGTAAGTGTATGTACCACCTCTACCTGTTTTCAAATACTAAAATTCTGAATTCTGGCCACACAGTGTATTTATGGGTTCCGCATGATTCTCACAGAAAGCAGCAGGTTTCTCCCTAGATAGCATTAACCGGTTGGTATTTGCAGCGGATATGTGTTTCCTATGAGGTACGAACTAGATTTTTATATACTGCTTTGGAAATTTCACTCTTTAAAGGGAAACATTTGTTTCACTAACAAAAAATGACAATTTTTGTATATTATCTGGCGTGATATTTTATAAAATAGATTGTCACTGAAAGGGAATCACCATTGGTAAAAACATGATTCGATCTTGGCACGGGATGTCAAGAATATTTCTTTATTTGTCCATGACGCATGACTCACCCACCTTTCTGTTGAGGGTCTGATACAAAGGTGACCAGAACGTCAAATTGGACATATGATAATTCATGTAGTAACTTCCCGACAGGTTTTCAAGGCGTGTGGTGCTTAATAGGTACAGCGATAACTTTAATTTTTATATCTTTACTTGTTTGTTATAAAGTATAGGGGTCTGAAGATAATTGAGGGCTTGAAGATGGCAAAAACATATCCAGAATCCATGATTCTGACAAGTATTGTACTTATACACTAAGGTTTTTACCGTCTTGGAGTTTCTCCGTCTTTTCATCGGACGTTCTATTGGTCTTTCCTCCTGTGTCGATATCGTCAAATTGCTTTCGGGAGCCTTCCAACATTCATTCTAGTCACATGGTTCCTGAAACTTTCTTGACAATGTTTAATATCGTCTGTTGCTGCCTTTGAGTTCCGTCAAAATGTCCTCATTTCTTTTATGGCCCCATTTCGCATAGCTTGCAGTTCTCACGAACTTCATTTCGCAGGCCCTAAGTCGCTTATTGTCTCCTTTTCTTATGGTTCACGTCTCGCTTGCATAACATAGGACTGGCTGTGTGCGGTATTAAAGAGGCTTATTTCTAGTATCCCTCTGCGGTGTTGTGGGTTTAGAAACCGCATTCATAATAACCATGCTGATGCTGGATTCTAAGATTTCTCTGCGGTAAATCTGTCTCGCCTTGTAGTTATGGTACAAGCCGGTCACGGTAGCCGAGCGGTCTAAGGCGTGCACTGTCTTCGCTCGCTCGGAAGCCGGGATCGTGGTTTCGAATCCCACTCGGGCATGGATGTTTGTGTGCGTTTTTCTGGGTTTGTGTACAGGTAGAGGCCTTGCGACGAGCTGATCACCCGCTCAAGGAGTCCTACAGTATGTCTAAGATCTAGCAAAAACCGAAGTGAACGGAGAAGTTCATGGAGGTAGGCCTAGGCCCACTGGGGCTGTAGTGCCAAGGAAAAAAAGTTATGGTATATAACATCATTAGTCCTTCCTTTCGTTTTATTGTTTAAGCATATTTCTCTTGGAACAATTTCGTTTTTCATTACCTTCAACCTCTCTGTCGATATAAACACCCTACACTTCGATGCTCATATGTGAAAATCTTAAATGAAGTATTGTAGATCAGTTTCTGTTGATGCTAGTAGAACTGGGTTGTCCGCGAATAGTATGATATCAGCTGTAAATTTCTACCAACCCGGATATAAGCAATTGTAGTATTTGAAGAAAGTCGTCTTCTGGAACCTGGCGCCGTGTATTCTTTGTTTCAGCCGACGTTTCGGAGGAACGTATCGCCTCCATCTTCAGAGCAGGTGAATTGCGTTGCGAATACAGAGAGCAGTAGCTGTAATGATTAGGAAGTGAAAGGCGCTCCTTTATATAGGAAGTAGGCAGGGGGGGTTTGTTAGGGAGAGGGGACCAATGGGAACAGTGAAGGGCGATCAAGGCCATATATGGTGAGGGGGCGAAGGGGGGGGAAACGGCCAGTGAATCCAGGCATCTTGGAGGTCAATGGCACGGAGGTTGCCCTGAAGATGGAGGCGATACTTTCCTCCGAAACGTCGGCTGAAACAAAGAATACACGGCGCCAGATCCCAGAAGACGACTTTCTTCATAGTAATCGCCGTGAAAACCTCAAAACTTACACAATTGTTGTATTTGTATCCGTTCCTTTATTACGGCATTCGTATATATTACAAGAACAATGGTAAGAGTCTGCAGCATTGCCTAGCTCTGCTGACACTTTTTCTTTTATTCGCTTAGTGGGGGGTGGAGTCCAACTGGGTCCGCTCGGCACGGCGGCCACTGATTGGCCTATTGTAGCCTGCCCCGGGTGATTATAATGGAGAATTTGGTGGAATGAAGATTGGCAAGGGAAGCCGAAGTGCTCGGAGAAAACCTGCCCCAGCGCCACTTTGTCCATCACAAATCCCACTTGACCAGAAACGGGATCGAACGCGGGGCGCCGCAGTGGGAAGCCAGCGACTAACCGCTTGAGCTATGGCGTTGCCTCCTTGAATTTTAACCAACATAAAATTTGTTTGCATGAGTTATAAACATTTTGTGTAATATGTTCGGGGAATGTTGTAATTTTGTACAATTTCACTTTAAAAATCTACAAAGTTGATGTGGGTTTCCATATTAAATTCATAACGTTCCTCTAACAATATTTTTCTTGTAAAATATCCGTGGATATATTATTTGTGTGATGTACTGAGACTTTTATAGTTCCTGTGTTATAAATCTGTGAGGACTAGTGCAGATAGCCTGAGAAGTTTAGTATGGAGTGATTGTAAATTGTGTAAATTGTAGTTATTTGTAGTTACGACCTGTAAGTGACCCATAAATCCAATTACCCATCAAACTATCGTTTTAATCACACTGACACGTGACAATATAAACTTTACACCGCCCATATTACGTGTTCTAAAAAAATTCGTTTTCAAATATTATCACCACGGTTTATTTTGTTCACGCTTGTCGAAAGACTTTAGTGCCCTGTTGGGTTGGAGACCTCGCTTTTCTTCATCTGGCCTACCGTGGAAACACAGACAATACAACAAAAAATTTTATGAAAGTAAATCCTTTTCTTCTAGTATGAACGTGAGGCGGGATAGCTCAGTAGGTGTAGTGACGGACTACGTGCTAAATGGCCTGGCTTGGATTTCCAACAGGGAAATTTTTTTCTCTTGACCACCTACGCAATTTGTACCTGTGGGTTTTCCAAGGAGCTAAAACGGGTAGGGGCCTGTCACATACATCTAGTGCAGAGGTAAAGAAAGGTGGAACTGTACCTCCACCCCCTCGTGTGTCTTCATGGCATAGTGTTTAACTAACAAGCCCAGGGATAATTTACCTTTTACCAGTATTAACGTTTCATATTGTAGCGTATAGAGAGTCTCTACTGGGTAACGACCTCGAAACAACAAAACAACATCCGTTACTAGGCAACAACCACGAGATAAGCAAATACACCAGAGACGTTACTGCGTAACACCTTCAGAAACAAAACACGTTCCCACGGAAACGTTTGGAGTAAAACAATAGAAGAGTTGTGTTTTCTGTTGGTCCGTGCCGTGCGATTATAATAAGAGCAACTGGAGCAAGAATAAAGAGTTGTCAGTAGTCACTTGTACGGAAGTCTGTGAAGAGAAGACTTGGTCGGTGCAGCTAAAGAATCTCCATCAAGATACGTTACCAGAAAACAACTAATGAAAGCAGACTGAAAAGACTTAACATGTGCTGTAGTGATTTGTAAAGCGCGGAGAACAGCGATGGCGCTGTAATTAAGTGTCTTTACGAGCTGCGTATTAAAGTTTTAAATAAATCCAGTCTCCAATCGGTCACTATAACACGTGACAATGTATTTTGCTCATTAAGTTAGGAACCAACACAAGGAACGCAAAACCTCTGATGATCCGGCCGAGATATAGCCCAGAATACAAAACAATGTGGCCTCGCATTGTTATGCGATTTGAGTTTTGTTTCTGAGCCGCATTTTGAAGCCGCTGTTTCTCTGTGTGTTCCAGGAGAACTCTGGGCTTGTGGTCCCTTGGATCATCGGCTTCATCACGTTCATGGCCCTAGAAGCAGTCGCCATGGTGTACTCCAACGTTCTCAGAGACCACGTCAACCGGGTACGTAACTCTGCGCAACATCCGCCCCTTTCTTGGTCTCAGTTGAACTTCTTGTGTTCGGCTGCACTGCACTCATGTCCGGTGACCCCACTCAGGGTTACAAATACTGTATGAGCCCGAATATAAGGCGACATCATGTTTGTCCAATGAGAAAATAATAGACACTTCATTTTTTTTAGAAGATTGACTACGCCTTTCCGGTATGATCAAGACTGTTTTCTCTCCACGTCATCCAGACCGGTTCCGAGGTCCAACCAACTTCCTATCCAATGGGTACCGGGGGTTCTTTCCCCAGGGGTAAAGCGACTGGGGCGTGAAGCTGGCCACTCACCTCCAGCTAGTGCAGAGATCCAGAGAATGTAGATCTATACATCCACTCCCACATGAGCCGTCATGGCGTAGTGCTTAATTAGTTAAACACAGAGACAACTTTACCTTACCTGATTATAATATTAAGTTCTGAGGGTTGTAAGAAAAAATAAGTAAAAACTCTATTATTAAGGAATAATAAATTTAAAATCTAATGCCTTGAGTATAATTCTTCCTATTTTCACAAATATAATTTTATATTAGCAATTAGAACTCATGATCATCATCTTCGCTTTTATTCTTAACAATAATAACAATAATTGTCAATAAGATACAGTAAAGTAAGTAAAAGTAAAGCTATCCCTGTAACAGGCCGTGGAGGCCCATAGGGTTGTGAGATGTTGAGGTTCCAACATTTTCTAGACAATCGGCTCATAGATGGCAGTAAGGTTGTCAGCCTTACGCTCCGGCCGCCCTTTATCCCCAAGAATATTCCTGGTACTCATTTCCGTTGGAGGCTGAGTCGACCCCAGGGCCATAGTGCGGCTGGAAAGATTAGGTCAATTGAAAAAATCCAGTGACCTCATAGGGACTTGAACCCGCGACCTTCCGGCTTGTTGCATAGTGCAACTACGAAGCCCAGCCGGTGAATGCTGCTTAAGGAAAGAGTCGATGTTTATTGTGAGAATCATACAAAACACAATTACAGTCCGTGAGCAGAATGCGAAGTTCTAGTGTGTTAAGCGAGGTGGTACATATAGTGACCACTTGCCTTGAAAGGGCCAGACTGCAGAGAATGTGGATACTGGAAGAAATAGCTCGGCTTTGAAATTCATAACCGCCAAATCCCATCCCAATACATGTTGAAATTGAGCTCCCAGCATTCTAGAATTTATGTAAGTCGAATACCTTAATATTCCTTGGGGTCCGGGGGGGGGGCGTTGTCTACGTCACCCTTTTCGACGCCTCTGCATATATTTGTGTAGTGCCCTTGTCTAACTTATATGCAAATCTATTACTTTTAGTTCCTAGTCTTGGGAAGGCGGTTTACCGTTCCAACATTATGAACGTTTGTAAATCACTGGGTTACTGCGGTGAGGCCACGGCTGTCTCGTCAACTGCCGCACCGTGTATCACTGTGCCCATTGTTATAAGGACCCGTAACAATACTGTTTTTCCCTAGATTCTGACTTACAGAATTAACTGCTGGTTTAGATATCGTCCGGTCTCGTGTTAACTGGTATTCGGGATTCCTGCCAAGTCTCAGAAGAACAACTTGAAACAAAATGGCCGTATTTCGCGGCATTCCATTTCCTTTTCTCTCTTACCCTGCAGCATCACGTCAATTTACCCATTAGGTACAATAGATTGATTTGGTTCGGTCGTCATGCCAACTGGGGAATAAATTACACACACTCCGTCTGTACGAAAACTGAGTTATGTTCAGATTCGATACGTCTGTCCTTAGATGAGAGGGCAAATGGATTTCCGAATCGATTCCTGCATGACACAGTCTTTGCGTATAGAGTACGAATAAGCGTTTTACCTCTACAAATTCTGAATATATTTCTATTAAATCTGACACTGGAACTAAAAGTTTTACAAAAATTTAATTTCAGTTCGCACGAGTTCATCGAGGACCGCCTCTGTGGTCTAGTGGTCAGAGTTCCTGGCTACAGATCCAGAGGTCCCGAGTTCGATTCCCGGCGCTACCAGCTTTTCTGAGAAGTAGTCGGTCTTGAACGGGGTCCATTCAGCCTCATGAGGATAACTGAAGAGCTATTTCAAGGAAATAGCGGCTCGAGCCTAGAAGATCGAAATTAAAGGCCGTGGGGATTCGTTGCACTGACCACACGAAACCCCCTATCCGCTAAAATTGGCACTAACTTCGCCGAATAGCGGCGGTCTCTCGGTCGGTATAGTTCTCTTGTGGACTACATGCCACAGAGATTGTTTTGTTTGTGTGAGTTCAGCGAAACGCCTTTGAATACCAAATTGAACGTCATAACATTGCTTAAAAAACAGAAAGCTCAGAGTACGAAAAATTGATACATTTTATAAAATATAGACTCAATGAAATTCCAGTGAATGAGGTGCACAGAATATTAGGAGGTAATATTGACCTTTTCAAGGACTGTCAAGCTGTCCATACCAGATTCGCTTCATCGGTATTTCAGGCTTTAATATTTATCGTGTTATTCGCTTGGTTTTACCTGGAAACAGGGCTTACTGCCTCCTGAACTTACACTTTTTGAACAGACGAGAGAAGACAAATATTCAAATAATAGACGAAACGATTTATTCAGTTTTAATGCGAAGAAGGTACAGAAGAAACTGGAAATAAGTAGTTGGGAATCAGTCGTGCAGAGGCTACACAGAGACGAGTACACTCGAGATTATCCGTGAAAGGGTTAAATTCTGTTCGTGATAAATTTGTTGAGGATCTGAAATGAGGAATCACATTTCGAACAAAATTCCACCATGGAGCATACGCTCTTAATCCTCTCCGCTCCGAAAATCCATCATTAGTTTCCTCGTAAAAAATATTTTATACAATCCGCGTGTTCTTGAAAGAGAATCGTGACGAATTCGTGCACTCTTATTCAGGTCAACTGAAAATTTAGTTCCAGAGGTTCAAATTGCTATTTGCGAGTTGAAGAAGCGCAAATTTCCAGATTACAGATCACATTCCTGGGGAAGTGAACCAGCTAGGAGTTAAACCACGAACTTGTTAATTCCAGCTGGAATTAGAGGGAACTGCTAGAGTAAATGGAATATATTCATATATGAGGTCTGGACCGTCTCTGTGGTCTAGTGGTCAGAGTTCCGGCTTCGATTCCTGGCGCTACCAAATTTTCTGAGAAGTAGTGGGTCTGGAACGGGGTCCACTCAACCTCGTGAGGATAATTGAGGAGCTATTTCAAGGAAATAGCGGCTCCGGTCCAGAAAACCGAGATTAACGGCCGTGGGGATCCGTTGCGCTGACCGCTTGACACCCTCTATCCGCTAAAATTGGCACTAGCTTCGCCGACAAGCGGCGGTCGCTCGGTCAGTAAAGGTCGCTTGCGGACTCGAGCCACGGAGTATGTTTTTTTTATATACGAGGCCTGACAATAAAGTTCGCGAACTCGCCACCGTTTGCTTCCCTTAGCGGCAGTGGACTCAAGCCTCAGTATGGTTTGATTACATTGGCATACCAAGTTTACAATTTGGAAGTAGATTGCAAAGAAGCAGTTTACGAGTGTACATGGTTTACGATAGTTGCCAGCAACAGGCTCATTTGAACGCCAAAATGAATTTTCGGGTATTCTATAAGTGTGGATATTTCTTAGCTATCTGAGCAACTGTTACCTTCTCTATGACTTTTCCCCATGGAGTTACTATGTAACTCCAGCCAGATATTACTGACTGCCTGATACCAAGGACTATCAAACTGACTGACTTCATAGAGCTGACTCCATCTTGCGAAATCACCGGTCGCTCAGCTAGGGCCTGAAGGTATATTACCGTGTTCACAAGAGCCCTCCGCTGTTCCCTATCCTGGGCCATATGAATCCAATCCATAACACCCCATCCTATTTGTCTGACATCCATCTCGTTGTTATCCTCCCACCTACGTCTAGGTCTTCCTAGTTGGCTTTTTCCTTCTGACTTTCCAGCCAAAACCCTATATGAATTCCTCATATCCACATTTGTGCTACATGCCTTGCCCATCCTATCCTCCTTGACTTTACCATTCTGTGTGATACGAAGAGTAAATTTACTAAGCTCCTCTTTATGCAGAATTTTCCAACTTCTTATTATTTCATCCTTCTTCGGTTTAAATCCGCTCACCTCTTGTGCAGTGGTCAGAAATGGTGGATTTATACCTTTACGCCACCATACGTCTTCATGGAATCAGTCTTACTTAAATAAACACAGGAACAATTCTGCCCTCGGTCTAAATATTCTCCTCAACACCTCGTTCTACTGTTACTATCAGAGACCATCTTACAAATACATACAAAACTACAGGCAAAATTACAATTTTGTACGTTCTAATCTTGATGTTGATATCAGGGATAAGTATCAGTATTCAGAGATTGGATAAACCTGTTACCGCAAGTGTTACCAACATGTTTAAATTTACTGACACGAGATTACAAACAAACTTTCCCTGGAGTTTTATATTTTCTTAAAATCAGTATCCAGTCCGGCTGAAATATTAGATCCGTGTCTTCATTATCTGACTTATACAAAATCAACTCCCCTGAGTGAACAGAAAGGAACTTCATTTGTTTTTTTGTTTTGTTTTTTTCACAATTCTCCTTCGCCTGCTGCAATTTTGTTTTGTCTTCCACAGCCCTCTCGACCAATATTTCTTTAAATTTCCCTCCACCATCATCATTTATAACTCTAGCCATATTTTCTTGATCTTCTTACAATTCTCCTTCTGGACATACGTCTCTACGTCTCTACATTCTTTGCATTTGTGTTTCCCTTTTCACGTGTTCACATTCTGCCTCTCTAGTTCTCTCTCTCTCCGTGCCGACCAAATGCTTTCACTTTTCTTTTGGAGCAGCCATTATGTGCACTGGTCTAAAATTCGTATTCAAAACTATTATTCTTAGTTCGAAATACTACCGTAACTTTCATGCCCAATTCTTCATAACAAGTTGAACTAGACAAGCAAATGGTGGTCACACTCAATT